GGGGACAAAGGTAGAGGTGGGGTGGTCTCTGGTTTATCTCTCACCTGACTCTAGCAGGCTGAGGTGATGTTTGTCGGCCAGCTTGCACCCTGAACAGACTTTCTTGTGGAAAACAGCCGTCAGTCCGTGATAGTTGCCAAAGGCAACATTCTGCCAGATCCTCTTCAGCCCTGGGGACACAGAGCCTTTTGCTAGTGGGTCAAAAGGAAGGTTCTTTTCTGAAAAGGGCCTATAAACCTATAGGTGAATGGGTGGAGAGAAAGGATAAAAGGAGACAGCAACTGAGTCAGATCTAGGAACCAGTGAGGGAAGATGCTAACCCTTGGTGGTCCCTGTTCAAGAAGTGCCTAAGTACAAGATGAAGAGAATGGTTCACAGCAGGTTCCCGACAGTCCCTAGGAAGGGTAAGGCGGAGGACTGAGAAAGGACCTGTGCACGTTGCCATCCTCTGAAGCTTCCATAGCCACCAGAAGGTTGGAGACCAGGTAGATGCTGTGCTTAGCCCTTGGAGCTGGGGACACGGTTGGAACAGGGACTGGGAAGGCATTGTTTGTTGTGGGGTTGGGATGAGAGGGTTAATTTTAGTCAGTTGATAAAACTTGAAGGCAGACAGTGTCATGGTATAAACAAACGGCCTGAGTTAAAATGAGCATTAGATTTCAAATGCTCATGGTAGGACTAGATGGCTCAGGAGGTAAAAGCACTTGCTGTGTAAGCCTCATGTGCCTGGTTCCATCCCTAGAACCCACGGTAGAGGAGAATAATCTCTAAGACCTCTGAAAGTCCTCCTCTGGCCTCCCCAATGCAATCCACGTGGGCACCCATACTCTCACATATACATCACATGCAATTAATAATAATAATATCAATAATAATAAATGGACATGTAGGGAACACAAGAGATGAGAAGTAAGGCTTTTCAGTTTGGTATGAGATGGTCATATTGAGCAGATAAGAGGAAAGACGGTACTGATTAACATGTGGCTCTAATTGGTCCCGTTGCCTAGGACCTAGGGTCACAAGGAACTGTCCTTACTCCTGCTGGCCACCGCAGAACTAGGGACAGGGCTTCCTTGCAGCATTCTCTGCTTCGGTTCTAAGGGATCTGGGATTTCTAACACCTCTCTTATAAATATTAATTAAACTTATTTCAAAAGCGTGAAAAAAGCCGCTGGTTTGTTTCCCCTGGTTGCTGGAGCGCTTCACTCCAATCTCTGTTTGCGATGCATTGGCTTAGCTTTACTAAGTAGATCACTGATGTGATAAATAAGTTTGTAGATTCGGGGGCTTTTCCTGCACCTTAATCTGTTCATATAGAATATCTATATATTATATATATACATATTTAGTGTATACATAAATACACTATAGTCTAGGGCTTCCATGGGAGGAAAAACATGCAGTTTCTGTAACCTCAATTAATATACTTTCCAGATTCATCCATTTCCTGGGCTTCATTTTCTTTACAGTTGAATAAAATTCTATCGGGTATACATGTCACATTTTCATATTTTGGGTGAGCCAAGCCCAAAGGGTTCCATTCTGAAGCTTTGTGTAGGTCAAGGAAAGTAGAAGCTTCTTTGGGTTCCAGGGAGGATTTTCTCATCTATGCTCTGGGATACTGCAGTTCTTTCAGTTTCAGTACCCTCAGGGAAAATGACCTAGACTTGAATACGAGTTATACACATCATCATATTTCCTTTAAATTACGTCTAGATATTCATTACTCATCTGTTTGTTGTCTGGTTCCATTCCATTGCTTTAGTGACTAAAGAAGCAATATGAAAATGTGGTCATACACATGATGGAATTTTATTAAACTGTAAAGAAAATAAAATCATGAAAATTTCAGGTAAATGGGTGGATCTGGAAAGTATGATCTTAATTGAGGTGAGCCAAACTTAAGCAGAAGCTCCATGTTCTTACTCCTATGCGGACTACAGTATGTTTATGAATGCACTGTTTATATAAATGATATGTATATAGTATATACAGTTTTAAAGGTAGGAAACGCCCAAAAGTCTACAAAGGAGACCAAGAGGGTTAATAATGGATGATGAGGAAAGATACACGGGACATGAAAGAGGACTGTAAAGGAGGAAGCTACAAGGAAAGAGGCTACTAGGGGGAGCACTGAGTAGGGAGTTGAGGGAAGAAGAATCATTAAAACAGACTTTGTTTGATAATGATATGATATCTAATATATTTTATGTTAATTTAAAAGAACTATAAATAATATCTAGATAACTTATAATCATCAATACAGTGTAAATGCAGTAGAAATGTTCTTTATAACTTATACTGGCTATCTATAATGATTTGGAAAGAGCTCTCTATCCATGTTCAATAGACATGCAATTTTCTCTGCAACATGTTCAGTCTGAGGTTGGTGTCGTTTGCAACAGCAGAAGCTCACGATGACCAGTGGCTTCATGGTTAGTCTGTGAGCCCCTTTCAGTGGACAGTCACGTTGGTGTCTGAGTCACCTACATAAGGGCTAGGTATCTCTTCACCTTTGCATAGAAGTGTGGTGGAGCAGATGAGGTGGAGGTGATGGTTTGGGGGTAGGAGACAGAGGCCTGAATATTTTTGATGACCAGACTTCTAGAGAAGAGGTCAGGAACCGAAGCTGTTTCAGTAAAAGGAAGAGAAACGGGAGGGAAGAAGAGAGGGTGGGAGGAACCGAGGGACTTAAGGGCAGAGTAATAGAGGGAGGAAGGGGAGAGCTGGAAATCCAGCCAGGGAAAAAAGTTCTACATCATAATAGTAGGTCCAGGTTCTGAAAGCTTGAGAGACTGTCTGTAAGCACATCCACGACACCACAGATCACCAGAAGAATGTTTCCATGCAATCTAGAGCAATTAAATGCACAAATGCAGAAGACTGGGAATTCTTGTGTGTGTGTGCGTGTGTGTGTGTGTGTATTTATCGATTTTATTGAGCTAAACATTTTTTCTCCACTCCACTTCCCTTAAACCCTCTCCCAAGGTCCCCACGCTCCCAATTTGCTCAGAAGATCTTGTCTTTTTCTACTTCGTATGGAGATTAGATCCATGTATCTCTGTCTTAGGGTCCTCATTGTTGTTTAGGTTCTCTGGGATTGGGAATTGTAGGCTGGTTTTCTTTGCTTTATGTTTAAAAACCACTTATGAGTGAGTGCATGTGATTGTCTTTCTGGGTCTGGGTTACCTCTCTCAAAGTTATGTTTTCTAGCTCCATCCATTTGTCTGCAAATTTCAAGATGTTATTTTGTCTGCTGTGTACTACTCCATTGTGTAAATGTACCTCATTTTCCTTATCCATTCTTTGGTCGAGGGACATTTAGGTTGTTCCCAGGTTCTGGCTTTGACAAAGAATGCTGCTATCAACATAGTTGAGCACATGTCCTTGTGGCGTGGTTGAGCATACTTTGGGTGTACACCCAAAAGTGGTATTGCTGGGTCTTGAGAAAGGTTGTTTCCTAATTTTCTGAGAAATCGCCACACTGACATCCAAAGGAGCTGTACCAGCTTGCATTCCTACCAACAAATGCAGGAGTGTTCCTTTTCCCCACAACCTCTCCAGCATAAGTTGTCATCAGTGTTTTTGACCTTGGCCATTCTTTTAGGTGTAAGATGAAATCTCGGAGTTGTTTTGATTCGCATTTCTCTGATGGCTGAAGATGTTGAAAATTTTTTTAAGTGAAGACTGGGTATTCTTTAGTCCTCATTACTATTTCCCTCTTGCAGTTTCTTTGTGGCCTGGGGCAGTTTAATTCAATGGTTCTAAAAGTCGCACCTAACTTTCTACCACCACAAAAAAGCCACATACTATTGTCTGAAGGATGTCTAGAGTGGACCTGGTACAGGATGTTGTGTGAACTCAGTATATATCCCTCAATAAGAACTCCTGAGATAGTCACTATGCTATCACATTTTACAGTGTGATTTTTTTTCCTTTTAGAAAAGCTACTAGAAAGGCTACTACAGAAAGAAAGTACTAGGGGTGGGCATGAAGTCATTAATACAGCTGTACTTAATGTGTGATGACGAGATCAAGGAAATGAAGGTTGGCTGTTCTGATATAGCCCAGCTCCAGCAAGGGCTACTGTTTGAAGGCTACTAAAGGGGGATTCAAAGCTAGAGGGATTTTTCAGGGAAATTGTAGATGTTCCTCCCCATTATTTTGGTGACCTCCTTGTATTCAGAAACACATGATTACCATCAGTAAGTGAAGAGTATGGCTAGGGACCTGCACTTTTAAAAAAGGGTTATTATTAATATCTTACTTGATTAATATCTTACTTGATTAATATCTTATAGATTGTTTTCTGTATGTATGTCTATATGCCACATTTGTGCCTTGTGTCTGCAGAGGCTAGATGAGTGTGTTGGACCTACTAGAACCAGATTAAAGATGGTTGTGGGAACTGTGTGGGTACTGAGATTCAAACCCAGGCCCTCTGGAAGAGCAGATAGTGCTCCTACCCCATGAGCCATTTCTCTAGTTCTGAACCTCTTCAGGAACTTTGTTAGCGTTAGATGTTCCCAGCCTGTAGTCCATGGGACTGCTCTGAGCAGAGCTTCCCAACAGCAGTTAGGGCTCTTCAATGATGCTCATGGAGCAGAGAGAATGTGGCTAGGAACAGAGCCTCCAGCTTCCACTAATGCCCACTTCAGTAGCCACACAGGGCCAGTGGCTAACCTAGGGAAAGGACAGATCCAGGGCGTCTGTGGAGGGGTGGACATTTTGTAAGTTTTTGGCAGCTGGGTGTAGTGTTGGACATGTATATATTAGATATGAACATATAAAAATGTGTTTCTGAGAAGAGTTGGTGCTTTCTGTTAGATTCTGAAAAGCAGGGCACCCAGTGAACCCTCTTGTCACCACTGCTTTGTCTCCTTTGTCACCGAGTCCCCTCCTTTGTTGCAGGTGGCTTCCCTGTTGAACACCCAGCAAAACAGCTGAGACCTGAGACCTCAGGCCCCCGATAAGCTGTAAGCAGCCAGCCAAGGGGCACAATGGCTGCACCCAGGAAATCTGCCATGCAGGTCCTCTCTTTGTGCCACCAGGGCCCTCAGCCTCAAGAGCGTGACACACCCTGGGAAGCCTTCCACAGGCGCTTCAGTCAGTTCCAGTATGAAGAAGCAGCCGGGCCCCGGGACGCCTTCTGCCGACTCTGGGAGCTTTGCTTTCATTGGCTGAAGCCACAGACACGGTCCGTGGAACAGATCCTGGCGATGTTGGTGACGGAGAAATTCCTGCAAATTCTACCTGCAGACATGGAGAACAGCGCCAGCATGCGCAGCCTGGAGACTAGAGAACGACTTTTCACCCTGATAGAGGAGCTGCGGAGAGACAAGCGGGAAGCAGCAAACAATGTAAGAACTTCTGGCTTCGTTGTTTTCAGACCAAAACAAATGCCCAGGCAGCTGCGTCAAGACGAGTCATTTTGTCCCTGTCATTCCACAGTCCCTACCCTTCCCCAGAGTCCTTTTCAAAGGTGTTTTTTGTAGAAGTCAGCTGGACTCCACATAGGGGCCATAGGTTAGGGGTCAGAGGTTCCACCCCTGCCCTTACCTGACCACCACGCCCTCTCTACAACACACAAATGGCCTCGTTAATTATCAGTAAACAAAATTCTCAGACCGCGTTAGTTACCAAAAGCATCACTCTGGTGCTGCACAGCCTGAGATATGTATGGTTAGGCTCTTTATAGGACAGTTTGAAAACTCGAGGTCAAGTAGAGTCTAGAAAGTATAGAAAAAAAGGGAACGTAGTTTATTATGAAGCCTGTGTCTCCGCTTACTCTCACTGTGGTAGGAGAGCTAGGAGTTAGCATCAAATGTCCCATGCTACAAACATTTAACCCATGGTCATGTAATCTCTGTAAGTGGAGAGCTGCTTTTACCTCACTGTGAACTACACTAATGCCATGCAAGGAACTTTGGCTTGGGTAAATAGGAGCAACAAATACTATGACCCCTCTCCTCATGCCTCATCTCTACGACATCTAAGTTACAGAGAAATATGGAACACTATCCAGTGCTCACTGGGGTTTTTCATCTGTATGAATGTCTTACGGAGGAAGTTCTGAACTTGAGAAAGCCTAGGAGGAGCCCTGCCTCAGGAGCGATACACCCATCTCTGGCCCATTAAATTCCAGTAGCAGCTCCTGCCGGCATATCCAAAAGACCTCATAATGGAGGCAATATTGCCTTCTGTATGGAGCCACTTCTTGAAGCCTCTGTTTGGGGAAGGCATGGCTGAGCACGGGGCGGGTCTGTGGGAGGAAGCAGCAGGAGCAGCCAGCTGAGATTCATAGTCTCAGCTTGGGACAGGGGCTGCTTTGAAAGAGCTTCAGCTCCAGGGCATTTGGCTGCAAGGACAGGGTTCTGCCAAAGGCTTCTGGCTCCTGAAGGTACCACGAGTGAGTGGTTTTGCTTTCTGTCTGTCTTCTTGTTTTCTTGAAAACGTAAGGTATTATCTTCAAGGGTCTATACATGTCCTCTCAGCACAAGAGCTGTGTGCCACTATTGGCTCTTGAATAACTGAAATGTGACCAGCATTGCTATAAATCAGATGTGACTCCAACTCTTTCTTTGTGTGTGCTGTTACCAATGGTTGCTGGAAACCTTTTTTTTCCCTGTGGTTTTCTAAGACATGATTTCTCTGTGTAGCTCTAACTGTCCTGGTAGTCAGTCTGTAGACCAGGTTGACCTCGAACTCACAGAGATCTGCTTGCCTCTGCCTCCTGAGTGCTGGCATTAAAGGCTTGTGCCATCACTGCCCAGTGGTTGCTGGAAATCTTCAAGCTCCTTGCATTGCTGATGGTTAATGATGTATTTACAGTAAGATAAAAGTAGTTGTATTTCCAGTGGGATGATGGGTTCTAATATTTCCTCAGATCAACATTGGTGATATGATCTTAGAAGAACTGGTGCCGATGGGTCCATTAGTTACACCATCAAACCTGCACGAGAGGCCGCCTGCACCTCAGCTAATGGAGCCTGCCCAGGAGTTCCCTGAAATCCCACCGGCAGAGCCACAGGAAACAATCATTGATGACGACAAATGCCCGACCTTTCTGGAAATTGGTAAGGAAAGGGATTCCCCACCCCCTGCTCTTGGTTTCTTTTTGAGAACTCAAGTTCTCTCATGGCTCTGGGGTAGTTTGGAGTTACCAGTTCCCTAAACGTAATAGACACGGTCAGATGTCCTCCCAAATGAGCTGGCATTTGTGCCCTCCAGCCGTAACTTACACCAGTGCTAGCATTAGCTCCCTTCACAAACAGTTTGATTTCAGCCCTGTGACAAGGGATCTGGGCAGCCTCACTTCCTTGGTGGGCAGACAGACGGGAGCAGTGTGGAGATCCACAAAAATATCTTCAATAAGTATCAAGTTCACTTAGCATCAAGTGATAGTGTTTTATTCAATGTGAAGGGATAAGGAGTGGGGACTGAGGATGGGGATAGGACTGCCCGATGGCTATGAACTCTGAAGAGAAGAATGGAGGAAACTCTTTGGAACGGGCCTTGGTTCCCTCCAATGTGGCGGGTGTGTGAACCTGAGGCACTTGCCACCGAATTGCTGAGGATGATGTCAGAATGGGCAAGGCTGTTTAGGATATACATTGGATTAAAATCCATTGCAACTCATACCCCACGTGGAGCAGTAGAGATGGCCAGTACTTAAGAAAGAGAAGTGAACCCAGGCTGTCTGCTAAGGCCTTAGGACCCCAGGAGCGGGCAGGGAGCAAGTAAGGGTTAGGGTATTTTACCTTGTGGTCCTGAGGTTGGCAGGCAAAAGCAATGGCTGGTAGTGACTTGTGTTGTTTTCAGCAAATGCACATCTACACTTCAGTGAAAATCAAAACAGACAGATAATCTAAGCTGGCTGCAAAATCAGTACAATCAGTGCAACGCACACACACACACACACACACACACACACACACACACACACACTGGTAATATGTAGGAAAGTTCGTTGGTCTCCATTAGAAAAGTCTAGCAAGATTTTCTTAGTGATTTGCTTTCCAGTTAAATATGTCCCTCTAAGATCCATGTGGAACTCTCTCAGTTCATCAACTTTAAGCTTGGATAGAGTCTACCGCTTCTGCAGATGACAGGAGACTAGCTTTTCACTAAGCATAGTAGGCTCCTGCCAGCCTTCCCCTTGTAGTCTGTAAAGCGAAACAAGACAGCATTGGTCAGGGGCTCTTGGCAAAGGAACGCTAACCGAGAGGGAAATGGATAGAGAGACTTCTGTACAAAACAGCAGGCTGAATGAACTCTGATACGGTTTGTGGTGACGTTTTTAACTGCTCTCCCTCTCCCTTCTGGCAAGCAAAGCAGAGCCCCGCTCGCTGGAGCTTGTAAGACAGATGGAAGTGGAAGGACAGCTGGCTTCTCCACGTGTAGGGCAGTTACCAGACTCTAGCAGGAAGAGAGGGATTCAGTAGAAGCCAGGGACGAAAGGGACGAGAAAGGGAGACTTCATCAAGGAGAGGAGGTCACTGGTGCTACCTGAGGGCTTCCACCCACCCTCAGAATATCTATTTTCCTTAGAACATAGGAACACCTGCCGTTTCCATCCCTCCTCTCAGCTTTTGATGTTGGGAGGGGAAAATGAGCAGATGTTAGCACAAATTAAAGGGACAGGTCCATTTTCTGCTTTGCTCACAGAGTTCCCTATAGCCAACGAGTATAAAACTCTGGAACCTCCTGGTGAAGAACCCCCAGAAGAGCTGCTGACTGTCTTCAGTGAGCCTGAGGAAGACCAGATGTCCTCAGAAAACCAGAACCAATGGGAGATGCCGGGGACCACCTGGCAAGTACGGGAGACTCACAGCACTGGAGTCCAGACACAGGCTCCTCCCGATGAGAAGCCTTTCTTTAGTGAGCAGTTAGGGCTGTGTGCTTTTCACCGGCAGCAACTTAAAAGCTGCCTGGAAATTTGCACAGGAAAAATAGCTAAAGAGGGCCCTGGAGATAGGGCAGGGACCTCCGGTGGCTCAGACCCCTATAGGCACCAGCTGGTTTCCCAGGAGGAGAGTACCCATGACCGTGCAATGCCTGGTACTTCATCTACTCAGGCAGCAACTGCTAGCGAGACAGAGGCAGACGATGTTGACCAAGAAGGAAAGCCATGTAAGATGTGTAAGAGGGAGTTTATGCATAATTTGGGCCTGGTAGAACGTGGGCAAACTCAGACCGTTCGCAAACACCAGTGCTCCGTCTGTGGCAAAGGCTTTAAAGGAAAGTCACGTGTTACTGCACACCTAGTGACACACACTCAGGAGAGACCATTTGTATGCCAACACTGTGAGAAAAGCTATAAGCACAAGTCCAGCCTAATGAGACATGTAAAAATCCACAGGCGAGGGAAAGAGCACAAGCAAAGCCAGGGTTCTCAGGGCCCCAAGCATGATGCAAACCAATAGCTCACCCACCTGCAAGTTTCACCGCACAACTCCCCAAGCTGTGTTGATGAAAGCTAGATCCCCTAATGAGGGCACGCTGCCTCATAAGAGCCTCTGGGCTGTCGTGGGAGGATAGTGCTGTGTGAACTTATTTCAGAGTGGAGCTTTGCTTTTAGCTAGATGCCAAACCTGCCTTCCAAGGCTTCCTAATGCTAGAGAGCCACCTACTCCCCACCTTCCTGTACGTGATTTTCTGGGCCTGGTAGGATGTTTTTTTTTTTTTTTTTTTTTTT